TTTGCACTGCACCACTTTAGTTTTGCACTGCGCCACTTGACTTTTGCACTGCGACTGACTTTTGCACTGCACCACTTGTAATTTGTCTTGTTGGCGTTCCATAACTTACTAGTTCTAATAATGTAAAGCGCATTGAGGCTTTTAGAAAAATACGCTCAATCAAGATCAAACTGTTAATATTAGTATAGTAGGTCATATCCCGTAGCCTACACAGGTACCATCGTCTTCCACGATCACGTCTCGAACAGGCAGATTCTTTTTAGTGTTGACATTAAACTGACGGGAATTTACGTACGCTGACGCGAATTTACCTGCATTAACGCAGATTTTTATGATATGACGTAAATTGACGTGAGCCTACATTCGGAAAAATTTTCCCCATACAAAAAATGAAAGAGCCAAGCCTACGTCACCGTTTTGGTCCGTTTGGCTGAAGTCCGTCTCGCTGCCGGTTTGCAGCACGATCTCTATCGTTTCGATAGCGGTTTCTAATGCACATCGTGCGAATCCGATATTATGGTTCGTTCTCGCTATTTATATTTTGACCATGCTTTCATCTTTTTAAATTATTTTAAGTCTTTTTGGTGCTTTTTATGATGTTTTGGAAGTTGATGTCCAATTTTCATCATTGTACATGTTTCTTTTGATGCCAAAATCTTCTTTGCTTGTTTGTTTGTTGTATAAATTATTTGGTTTTAAAATATTACCGTATAAATACAAAAGATAAAATTACTGAAACCAGGACCAGTGGCGGATCCAGCAAAGGGGGGCGGGCATGAGGGCCCGTCCCCCTGCCCCTGTCAGTCAGGGACGGGGCATGAGGGCCCGTGTCCCCCACTCCCGTCAGTCAAGCCGAAAAATAAAAGTGAGAAAAAATTTGAGTTAAAAAGAGGAAAAGGATGTACCCATGAGTTCAGTAGCGATCCAGCAGTTGAGTGAAAGGATAGCTCGATTATTTCCCTCTTACTTACAAAAACCATGGTGGGGCTAGGTGGCCGTGGCGTCTAGAACTTAATATTGTGCCCCCACCTCCCGTCAGAAAATCTATGGATCCGTATTATTATTGTATTATTATCATCATCATCATTATTATTACTAAGAATACATAGGGACCGATTTTGGCCACGGACCAATGTTTTTCCTGATAGGACTAACTATGGAGATGTTATCGAGAACCATCGGGAATCATATACAGTATCGGATATTCGCACGATGTGCATGAGAAACCTCTATGGAAACCGTACGGGTCCGTGAAGTTCGAATAGCCTGTACACGTACAACGGTTCTTTGTAGGCCTACTCTGTGGGTGTCCCGAAAGCTAAATCTAAGACCACGAGATATCAGACCAACTCGAAATATCAGACCCCACAAATTAATTCCCTCAACTAAGTATGCCAGGATTTCTAGACAATACTTTATTCGAAAGGTAACGTCAATATAAAGAACTGGCTAATCATAAAATAAACACCATTAAGTATCATCGATAGGCCTGACGGTAGTTGCTAAATACAACGGGTTCAGCCGAGGGGGCGTGGCTTGTATGGTAACACGTCATGTATAAATTATACAGTCTACCTAAAAACATCGCACATACACCGTGTGACCATGGAGGAAGAATTTGTGACCATGTGACGTTAGCGAGGCGGACTGAGGCTTAGTTTGTACATAGGTTTGTGCTACTGCTACGGCCGGGTGACGGACGAATCGGGGGCCCAGGAGACATCGAGTCCATTTCCAGACCATTGGGCCCAAAGTATGGACGATCGTGTCGAGCTAGGCACCTCTCCCTGCGCTAGGTCGGGCCAGGAGGTCTCTTCAGTAGTCTGAAGCCTAGGGAAATCATAGTCCTAGACAAGTGCTTCAGCAACCCGCAGCAGTCTGAGCAGCGGCGGGGCCGGGGGACAATGGAGCTAAATCCCCAACCCCATCGGACAAGTCAAGGATCCCCGGCCAACAAAAAAAAAATTAAATATAGGCCTACCCCAAGCCATGTCTTTCACACTGGTAAGTGCCATTTCCGGCCATCCAGAGCTCCCTTTAGAAAAATCTCATCTCCTAAACCCCCTCCTCAGGCATACGAGCTCAATCCCCCTTTTGGACAGCTTATCTCACCCCGGAAAAAAATGTATCCCAGAGCAGCCACTATCTAAGCCTTTAGGCCTATGCAGAATGTGGCTCTATATGCTACTAAAGAATTAGGCCTAATTGTTATTTAATACATTACTTTATACAATACAAATTGCAATACAGACATTGGAAGGTTAATATATTTAATTTAATTAAATATTTAACATTCTGTTCCCCTTCTCTTTTTGTGTAAGATAGCCTGCAATTTTGTGAAACATTAAAAAGTAATAAAAACTTCAGCAGTTAAGTTGTAATAGAAATTGTAATTTTAATTTATTAGACCCATTTTCTCTTTCAGTAAGATAATTTGTCTATGTCGAGGACGAACTATAAACTGAAAAACAACTATCGCTGACAACTATTATGCATGACGTCAACATACGAAGCCGCGCCCCTCGGCTGAACCCGTTGTATTTAGCAACTACCAGGCCTGACCGCCGCGCCAAATGTATGGAACGCCAAAGGGGCCACCGAATACACAACAGCCACACTACCAACGGAACTCTATTGGCGCGCCATGCTTTCTATTGTTAAAAATCTGCCGGCCGAAATGAGCGGCGGCCGAAATGATCTGAGACCCATCTAGGCCCCTATTTGCGACGTTTACTGGAGAAAACTAATACAGTACAAACAAACCGGCTATTGGCACTCCACGGAACCGTACGGTACGGTTTCGGTACGTTTTCGATAGCGGTTGTTTCTAATGCACATCTATCGTGCGAATACTGTATCCGATGGTTCTCGATCGTTCTCGCTCTTTATATTTTTAGGACTAGAAATTGCAAATTGCAAGTAAAAATAATGAATAATAAAAATATAACAAATAATATGAGACACGACCCATTGGGTAACAAAGTCGTAATTTTTCATTTTTGTCAAAAAGTGTCTATAGTGGTGAATTATGGTTTAGGTTTTTTTTTTAATAAAGTTTCAAAAATGTCTATGTATGTGGAAATGTATTGATTACCAAAGGTTACAATTTTTATTTTGAAAAAAACTGCATGGTCTAGGAAGTGTACATTTTTTTTATGGGGCAACTTTCCAAGGGCGGGTTTTCTAGGGGCGAGTTGACTGCCAAAGAGTGTTGCCAAAGTGCGAGCCAGTGTGTTATTTGATCACAAGTGCGAGACATCGCAAGTGTGAGTCAGCGAGTCATGACATCACGACAATAGATACGAGACGTTACTCGAGTTGTGCGAGGTATCGGCTGAGATTTGTGGAGTACAATTCAAAAAACAACTATATGTCTAATAATGAATTATTGTGATGTTAAATAGACAATGTTAGCTATCAAAGAACGACGTTGTTTTTCATTGGGACCCTCGTCCCTTCAAGGCTAGGCATATAGCTAGTCTAGGCCTAGAGTAGGATAAGGCTAGCGCGACATGCAGACGTTGGTACGTGTTGGTTAGGCTACAAACGTCGCCTAAAGTAATTGATTTTACCCTGCAACGAAAGAAGGAAACTCCGCTTTTCAGTTGTCTTAGGCCCTTGTTTTTTTGACAAACAATGACCTTTCAGAGGTCAAATTGCTGTCAAGAATATGAAATTGGCTGCTTCGCTTCAAGAAGACTTCGCAGCAATAATTTGTTCTTTTTACATTCACCTTACCTTTCTTTACTCATCCCATGCGTCAATTAGCCAATCAGGGCACACCTCTTGGGGTGGCCTATTCTATTGGGTTAGGAGGTAACATGGGTGAGCGCATTTTCGTTACAATATTAATTTATGTAGTGCTTTTAACGTAAGGTGGCAAAGCGCTTAACATCAAGATAAAGTTTATATTAACATCAAAGATTCAAGTAAAAAAAGGATATACACGATTATAATTATTTGAAAATAGCGTTTCCTTGCTTCAATACTATAACTAATGCTACAAAAACAGTGTCAGAGTTCACATGAGACATTGCCAGTCATTTTTAGAGCAAATGTTGCATTAGATCAAATGGAAACATTCATGTCCTGGACAATTTTAAAAGAGTGCCTACAGGGAGCACTCAAATTTCACTCTATCTAGGTTGAAAATTCAATAAATGAGTGAATATACTGTTCTTAAAATAGTTTGCATTTAGAGAGTATGAAGCGCCCATGGTTTGATGTCTGGAAATTCATTCCCTCGTGTGTTTATACGTGTTTATTTAAATAAAGAACAACTTTTTTTCTGCTAGTTGTTCCACTTCAAATGCCAGAATGCCTAGCCTAAACAGGGCTATACAATTTTTTACAAAAACTTGATATGTTTTCGTCACCTAAAATCAGGGGAAGTATACATACTGTTCATATGTTGAGTATAGCATTCGATAAAACAATCGATTGGCTTTCAGATGGTGCGCAACATGTCTATGTTTGGGCATTTATCCCTTTGGAGTATCACATATACTTCATTTTTGCTATTTTTTTAAATATTTCCGCTGTTTTAGAAATTAAAATGTATTATAATCAGAAAGTACATAGTTCCAGTCTTCCATGTTTGTTACTATCATATAATTGGTCAAATTCTGAGAAAGAATAGTCCCTTCATTTAGTAAAATATTAAAACGAAAAAGAAAACAAAACATGGAAATGAAAACAGAGCTACAAAACTAGGTATGGTATCAACGGATAGAAAATTGTATAAGCTTTCATATGATGTGCTATATTACACATGTATTACACTAAACGTGAATATTTATTTTTTTTCCCCAAATTATTTTAATCGAGGATGTATCTTGTAGGTCATAGATAGTTGTTATGGTGCGAAAAAAACGATTGTCTGAACAGAGAACATCCGCAAATGCAGTTTACTCTTTAAATTTGATATTGAAAATCAATCCCTCTATATTTTGAAACTATATTTCAGCAAGCACAAATTTAACATGAACATATTCATTTATTCTTTAATATTTATACTATATCCTTCTTCAGCTACTTGTAATAAAAACAATTTGTTTCTGCTTTATCGTATCACCATTGATAGAAAAGCAGTCCAGATATCTTAGCTACGAACTCACAGCGTTCGCTATACAGTATAGGGTACATAATTAAAAATCACACACGATATCTCGTCGTAGATTCAATTCTGATTTTCTATGCATTTATTTAGGCCTAAATTCGCGTGAAAGTAGCTACTAAGTACTAGGCTGTACATAATAGGAAATTCTTCATGATAAAAGATTACATGATGTATTTGAGTATTTCTGACTATAAAATGACACGATTTGTTTAACTTGGCTAACGTGTTTACTTGTTAGTTAGAATGTACGAAATTGGCCTTCAAAGCAAACCACTTCTTCTTCATTGTAGTTCGTTATCTTTGCGTTTACCTTACCACTTAGGTTCTGTAAAAAAAAGTGTTCGCATTGTTTTAGTCTAAGACTTAACAACAGTAATGTAGATGTAAACAACGGAACAAAACATTTAAAAAATTGTAATTCAACATAAGAGTACACATTTTGTAAACAAAAGTATATTATGTTTTACTATATTAAACAAATGTCCTAATACCAATTGATCAGCTCAGGCTGGATGGACCACACTCAAAAATATTGTTTAAATACATAAGAAGCGAGTCGAATGGCCGAGGGGTTAAGGCAGGGGCACCGTAACCATAGCCAAGAATACCGGCATGGGTTCGCGGCCACCTCGCTCCTAGTTCTGGTGTTGGATAAGGACTATAAATCGTAGGCCCAGTGTACAAGAATGCTCATGTGCACTTTAAATAACCCAGTAAATCATTCGAGATTCGAGATTCGAGAGAATAGTGGGGGGGTACCCCGGTGTACTGGTCCACTCAGCTCCTGTCGTGCTTCAGAGGACATGAAGCAACCCTCAGGGGAGGAGAGCGTTATTGAAAAGAGCAACATCTTGTCCACTACGCCACGAGCAACGATTGTTGGAATGGCGCAATATAGGCTAAATGAAAGGTTTTGATTTGAAGAAATAAAACCATAATATTTAGTAAAAATCCACACCATCACATTCGAAACTTAACCATTCAGCACTAAACCCAACAACAAAACGTTAAAAACTATTATAGTTTCTACTCAAATGCATACGTCAAAACATATGTTTATACCTATAGAGTTACAATCGTACCAAGTCACCTCAATACATCGGGCCATGCATTTGCCACACCATCCAACAAAAGTCTATACATTTACTAGTTTTACATGGCCGGCGGAACCGGAGGGCCCGGGCCCCCCACTTTTTGGCAAAAAACATATGTCTGGAGATTTTTTTATGATCGGAAAGAAATGCAAGATAAGAAAGGGGGAAGGAAGAGGAGAAGGATGGGAAAGAGAATGTTTATCCAGTCCCCGATCGAGTTAAATTTTCTCGCAATTCACATTGGCGGATCTGGGGGAGGGTGTCATCGGTCCTGACCCCTCCCTTGGGCCAAAAAAAGGGGAAATCTAGACATACCTTTTCAGGACCCGTGAGCTGATTTTTTTAAATTTTTTTTTTTTACACTTAAGAAAATTAAAACACAATTCAAATGTCCAAAAAGCTTATTTCCCGCCATCTAGGAATCACAACTTTCCAGAGGGAGAACCCCCGGACCACCCTTTCTTGTTGGGATTTATCATGGAATTGCAATTGCGTATTCATTTTTTTATGTGTATACACACATAAAATAAAAAATGAGAAAAATTTACCTGACCGTTTTCAAGAGGGGAAAACCTTGAATTTTGAAGAAATTAAAAAGTCATTTATAAATGACATTTTAGATGCCAGGAAAGCTCATTTCCCGCCATCTAGAAATCGAAATTTTCCCGGGGGAACCCGGACCCCCTTTTTCTTTGGTGTGCATTGATTCATTGAATCATTTTCAAGAGGGGGAAACCTTGAATTTTGAAGAACTTAAAAGTAATTAAAAGACACCTCAGAAGTCGGGAAAACTAATGTTTCCGCCTTCTAGGAATCAAAAATTTTCCCGGACACCCCTCGGAACCCCCTTTCTTGTTTAGATTTATCGATTCATGGGAAAAAAATTCGTATGCAACTACTCACATATATATATATATATATTTTCATTTTTATGTATGTACACACACATAAGGCCTATTTATTGTAAAAACAATAGGAAAAATTACCTGACCGTTTTCAAGAGGGAAAAACCTTGAATTTTAAAGAACTTAAATTAATGTCGCTAAAAGATACTTCAGAAGTCGGGAAAGCTCATTTCCCACCATTTAAAAATCAACATTTTCCCGGGGAGAACCTGAACATCCCTTTTCTTTTTGGGTTTATTGATTCATTATAATAATATTCAAGAGGGGGAAACCTTGAATTTTAAAGAACTTAAAAGTAATTAAAAGACACCTCAGAAGTCGGGAAAACTAATGTTTCCGCCTTCTAGGAATCAAAAATTTTCCCGGACACCCCTCGGAACCCCCTTTCTTGTTTAGATTTATCGATTCTGTCTCTTATACACATCTTTCGTATGTAACTACTCATTTTTTAAAAATTTTTATGATGTATACAAAAGCAAGGGGGAAATTACCTGACCGTTTTCAAGAGGGGAAAACCTTGAATTTTTAAGAACTTAAAGGTAATTAAAATACCTCAGAAGTCGGAAAAGCTCATTTCTCCCATCTAGGAATCAAAATTTTCCCGAGGGAGAACCCCCGCACCCCCTTCTCTTTGGAGATTATCGATTCATTGAATAAAAGAATACGTAGGCCTAGACAACTACTCATTCTTGTTTATGTATGTTTACACACATATCAGGCCTATTTACTGTAATAAGAATGAGAAAGTTTACCTGACCGTTTTCAAGGGGGGAAAACCTTGAATTTTGAAGAACAAAGTCATTAGACACCTAGCTTAAAAGTCAAGAAAATTCATTTCCCGCCATCTAGAAATCCAAATTTTCCCGGGGGAGGACCCCGGTACCCCTAGATTTGATACCAGATCTGCATGATTCACATTCCCATTCATCTTATGAGTGCCCCCCCCCCCCCACTTTGAAAAACGTTCCGCCGGCCCTGTTTTATAAAATATAACGTGAATAATATTTATTAGTTTAATAACTTAAGTTTGCGCAACAAATTACACCTACCGGCAAATAAAATCTGGTGTCACAAACTGCCTTTACATACAACCAGTCTGAAATAAAAGAAGAGTCTTTAGATATAAGTGAATTTAGTGTAGAATCAACGTCGTGATCTATTTCGAAGGCAACGCTCAATGAGAGTACAACACAGCACTTATTATTTATTAGATTTGTATTACTATTAGATTATATTATAGTATTACAGTATTATTGTCATATTTGTTTACTTTTGACAATGACGAATAAAAATATACTGATAATGATTACAGTAAACTAATAATTAAGTAAATTGAACATGAGGGGAATTTAAAAAGAAAACATGATTCAATACTTATCAAATTATTAAACACTCACCTTTTTTACTCAATGGCAGAGGGCACTCAATGTCATCATGCAACATTCCACAGTCAATAGCAGAGAAAAATCTTATTGGTTGGTCATCATGCCCAAGTAACACAGAAACATCAGCATATCCACCATCGGTAATAGCAGCTACTGCTTATCAAGAGAATGATACCTTTGACGATTTATATTATTTATACTATATATATATATAGTAGCTTTCCAGTAGCTTATCTAAAGTTCACAAAAAAAAAAAAAAAACACACACAAAAAAAAAAAAACGTCCAGGGCTTTAATTAGAGGTTTTAAGGTATGGTGATTGAAAGCTTGAATTTCTTTCCTACGGGCTATTTCATGCGCGAGGCGATCTTCAGGAGTGAGGAGTTTATGTATAGTTGAGCAGGTGGGTATTCAAATGAGTATTACGTGCTTTTGGAGTAGAAATTAAATTGGTGCTGTGTCTGCATTTTGAAAGCAGCTCGTTTCCATAGGCGTAGATCCCGGGGGGATGGGGGATATCCCCAATATTTGACAAGGGGGGGGGGATGGTCCATTGTATAATCCCCCCCCCCAATATTTTGACTATGTATGGGATAAAATGGAGCTTTACACACTTCAAAAG